CTACTAAATGGAATAACTTATATCTTTTTAATTGTGATTAGTTTGATCCAGTGTAAAATAAAGGAACAAGAGTACATCCACTTTATGATATTATAGAAGTAAACAGAGGTATAAGGTATAAAAAATACAACCTATTTATTATTATTAGCCAGACTACCCAAGTATTCTTTGTTAACTATCTAGGAAGACTACAGGGTAAGCAATATTGGCTTATAATTATTAATAATAAACCTAGGAGGGTCATTGAGAATACTACATCAATACCACTAGCACGTCAAGCAGTGTATATGTCAAACTTTAAAGAGCCTACTAATGATATAGATGATCAAATAGTAGCCAATGAAACTAAGTTATAATTAGATGAGGTAGAATTAGACATTGAGGAAAACATTAAATATTGTTAGTAGTGAGGATGTGGTCTCATTAGATGGAAGTGAATCACCTAGTGATTAATAGTTATGAGGTAAATATGAATCACCTACTAATTTTCTTTACATGTTAGTATACATATAATACTTTATTTTTTAATTATGGTATAGTAGTAGTAAAAACATATACTTTTAAGAACATAATAGTAGTTACTACTTATTTCCTAAATTTCATAAATATACAAATTATAGCAAATTATTTCTTTTCTTTTTTATAGATTGCTTCTAGAGGTGATGATCCCCCTAGGCGATCATAAACATTTTTAAGAGCAAGAAGGGAACTAATGGATGATCCAGTAGGGGTAGAGGTACCGAGGGGACCTCCACTTTACCACCTTCCACTCATACCAAGCCTAACCCATTTTGCCTACACCTACTATAGGGAGTCCTTAGTTTTACTCTACAGACCCCTTCTTTCTGTCACCATACCCTACCCAGATGGCTCCCTTTTACCCGTACTACCCCCACCATCTTCTCAAGGAGTCCCATCTACTTATCCCAATCCACCATATGTTTTATTATTTTACCACCCATCGCCCCTCGGCCCTCTGTAGCTTGACTTTCCTCCCTAACTTTAGCTGGACTTTCCACGTATACTGCTACAACATCGAGTACAGATTGGCGTATGCTGATTTAGCTTGAGGGTGACATATACGTAAATGTGTATGTTTTATATTACACATATTTTTTAGAAGTTATATTTTTTAACTAAATATTTTGTGAAGATTTTACCCATCAAAGTAACCCACTCACAAGATACAGGTTATCATACGGAGATGGTTTGACGCTCTATATGTCTCTTGAAAGAAAATCCCAAAGGAAGTGCATGACATGTGGTTCAAGAAGTTTGAGGTTAGTAAATTGCAATATTATTAACATCTAATAATATTTTATTAAGCTAATAAAAATAAATATATGTTTTTATAATTTATTATATATAATGATATTTCTGTTAGTTTCCTGAGCATGGTACTCAAATCAGAATTGATTTTGAGAAACACAGAGCAACTTGCTTTCAAGACATGTTCACTCGCTTTAGGAGGACAGGTGAGCGGCCGCTTTAGATTGGAGAGGGTGTATGGGCCTAATTAAGTACTGCTTGGGGCATCCCATATTATATAGCGAGGAAGGAGTTGAACAGACAGAACTAAACTTCTAATGTCAGCAGCCTGGGTAACTCTTTTCATACTAGGGGTTCAGTTCCACACAATGAGCACAGACGATGATTTGTAAAAATTTTAAGATATTTTAATAATTTATTTGGTTATGCATAATGATCGAGTATTTTGTAGAAGAAGATACTTGGTAGAGAATCCACTAAAGTTGAGTTACACAATCACACTTATGAGCTCTAGGATAACCAACAGTGGGTGGATCGATGAATGAGCGATAAGGATATTGTACTTATAGAAATATTATAAGTGATGATTATATTATGTTTTGTTGGATGAGTATACATGACTTCGAGATAGCAAGATTGTAGATGAAGTGTGATCCTCTGGTGTTTTAACAGATATTTCTGACTACCACACTTAGTTGTAGGAGGTAGATAAAATGCAGAAGGAATGAATTTATGGATTAGGATCACAAGCCTATGCGTACGAGGGGAAATTTTCTTCTACCTCCAAATACTACAAGTTGTCATGAGGGTTTATATAGCCAACAATTGGCTTATTTGAAAGAGGAGCTAGAAAATATCCAAAAATTATAAGCAGACATTAACATTTAGATACTTGATGAGCTCCAGAGATTGAGGGAGTAGTTTGGCAAAGATCAGCCTACGCCTTCATCGGACGAGCATGATAGTGAGGATATTGATTTCACTTAGATTGTTTGTTTAGGGGTTTTTAATCTCTAAGAACTATTGATACTTTAACATTATTGTAAATATAGAACTCTATGGACTGCGATTCTTTATTTGAGCAATTGGAATGTGATTGTACAAAACTATTTTTCTTATATTTATTTTATCATTGTCTGTTGAAATGTTAGCATAATTTAATACTGCTTTTAAACTGCTTGGATTTTTATTGTTGAAAATCACAATAGTTGATTGTAGGAGATATTTTTTTAAATTGTTGCTACATATTTCCGTTTGATTTGGATGGAATTTACGTCGAAAACGTAGGAACGATGAGAGAGTATCATATTTTGTGACAAGCATATCCATTACAAATAATGGTGGATTTGCGTCGGCCTATCCGTTGCAATTTACGAAGGCATTTCTGCCACAAATTGTAACGGATTATCCGCTGCAAATATGTCATAATTTGTGATTGAATTTGCGATATTTTGCAAAAATGAAGATTTGTTTTCTCAATCTGTATCCATCGTAAATCCGTCACAAAATGGTTGCGACGGATTTAGTCCGTCACAAATACTTTTGTGATGCGGCTTTTACCGTTGGTTGCAAATTCACCCCAAAGCAAATTTTGCGATGGATTTGGCTTGATTTTAGGTGGATTTTTTCTGCTGTAAATACCTGACTTTCTTATAGTGATTTACATTATAAATCATGACCACCTAACATCTATGATGAGGAATGGCTCTTGTCCCAAGTGTATATCTAGTTGGTGGTCAGCGAGGTCTTTGCAGCACTTGTGCTTCATCATCAATCTGCTCTTTCCCACCTCTACAGAGGTTGTATGTGGATGAGTTTGCTAGAAGAACATATTCTGGAGAGTCAAAGTTGATGATAGACAACTACTTTTTACAATTTAAGCCCGATATATAGTTTTAATTTTAATTAAATGAATTAATAAAAGAAAATTTTAATTTATATTTTCAAAAAATATGAAAATTTTACTTACACATTCTTGATTAAGAAAAATCATTTACCATTTTCACTCTTCATTATTTTTATTTACACAAGCTCCTTCTCCTTATTTATTTATTCATTAAGCTCCTCCAAATCTCCATCATAAAAAAAGAGAAATTCTCTTACAACGCTTCAATTATTACATTCCAGGAAAATTCAATGTGATTTGAGATGTCCTAGAGGATGTAATAAGATTGAGGATATAGATCATGTTGTTACGGGATGTGAGAAGCTGCTGAATATCATTGCCTTATTCAACATTTGGGGTTTTCAAATACCAACATTTACTAGCATGGAAGAATGTTGTGATTGGCTTGAAAGATCTAGTATGAAGAGCAAATTCTTATCGAAACTGTATTGTAACACAGTGTATTTAATGTGGAAGGAAAGAAATAAATTTATTCATGAAGGAACAAATGATAGCTCCAGATTTATTGCTGTTCAAGCTATCTCGTGATTTTCATTTTCTAATTCTTATGGCAACATAAGCTCGGGCCACTGGGGTGTTAATCAGTCTAGAAGACTGTGTAATTGTTGGCACCCTTCACCACTCGACTGGATCAAAGTGAACGTAGATGCTTCTTTATTTCCTTCTTACAAGGCGGGCATTGGAGGTGTCTTCCGAGGAACTTTTATTTTATCCAGTGAACGTACGCTCCTCTACGTTCGGTTTGGGCAAAAAACGCACTTGTACCGAGTACCGAATACCGAGTACCGAGTTGTACCCTAAAACCGAACGTAGAGGAGCGTACGTTCACTGGATGTAATAAAAGTTCGCTTTTTTCCGAGATAGTAATGGTAAATTCTTGATGGCGTTTGGAAAAAAGCTTGTTCATTGGGACATCTCACAACTTGAATTATCGGCTATATTTCTAATAAAAGAAGTTTTCAAAGATTGGATGCTTCAATACAAGGGTATTATCATTGAAGGTGATAGCAACAATGTGATCCAGTATATTCGACAAAGCATCAAAGCTGGAGGTAAAGTGATAGAATCTATTGATTTTCTTAAAAATTTTGAAAATATTATTTTTAATTGTGTTGATAGAAATAGCAATAAGTTAGCGGATCTTTATGCTAACTATGCTATATTTAGTGATTTCATGTGGGATGATATTACCTCTGATAATGTTCCTCCTTTATTCTTTAATTTGATAAAGGAGGAACTAATGGGGTGTAGTACCTAGGTCTTTTATTTCTATTTGCTCTTTTACTTTAGCAATATATCCTCTATTGCTTCTTAAAAAAAAAATAATAATAATAAAAAAAGAGAAATTATAAAGAAAAAAAAGCCACATAATATTCTTTCAAGAGAACTTTTATTTGGTCCGGTGAACGTACGTAGAGCTACGTTCGGCCGGCATTGAGATCGCACCACGTAGCATGCACAAAACGAAAAATACAGAGCAAATATCGAGCAATACCGACAATAACGAGAAATACCATTATGTGAAGACAAATACCGAGCAATACCGAGTTTTTCTAGAAAATACCGAGTTTTTTCTATAAAAACTCGGTATTACTCGATATTGGTCTTCACAGAACGGCATTTCTCGTTATTGCCAAGCAATACCGAGCAAAAACCGAGTAGCTCAGTAATAACCAAATGTAGCTCTACGTCCGGTTAGAGGACCTAATAAAAGTTCGTTAAGGTGATGCCATAGGCCCCCTAACGTAGAAATTCTTCAAGAAAATCATATAAAATAAATTTTATGCCGAATATTAAAAAAACCGAGTTTGAATGGCTATCAGTCAAAAGAGAATGCCATGATGATGAAGAATAAAATGTCCATGTTAGCATCCCACTATCCACAATTTCTCCACTACATCAAAACTGAATCAAGGCTCATTCTTTTCTCCTGCTTCTCTTCCTCCTCTCAATATTCGCCATGGAAGACTTCAGATCAAAATCCTACGCTTCTAGTCGGACGCAGATAGAGCCCTACGGCACCCGGGGCCCGCCGTTTCCCTCCTACGAACTTAGGAGCTACAGCAATTCCCACGCCTCTTCGTTCCCGAACAAGGAGATGAAACTCAAAAAGGGAAAGAGATTTTCTTCCTTCAAGGGCGGGTGGTTGAATGATCCGGAGTTCCAGAGGAAGAAGAGGGTCGCAGGTTACAAGGCCTATTCGGTTGAGGGCAAGGTCAAGGGCTCGTTCAGAAAGAGCTTTAGGTGGCTTAAGGAGAGATATTCACAGGTCGTGTACGGGTGGTGGTGATTATCCGATCACTGCGGTGATATGCTTTTCTTTGAAACTAGATTGTTTGTGACTTTGTTCATATAGGCGGATTACTTCAGTTTTCTTGGTATTGTGATTAGCTGTGGTTGTATGATTGGACTTGTTGTGATCTGGTTCTTATCTTTAAGATTGGTTGGATGCAATACTTCAATCTTTTTTCCGTTTCGGGGCTCTTGAAGATATCTATTGCTCAATATTATTACCCTTTTATTTAGATAACCGGCCTTTTCTCCCGTCTTGTGAGTAATAGTGACATAGCTCATGAAATTCCTTGTTATATTGTTAGAACCATTTTTTCTTTCCTTACATGAATTTGCTGTTGCCTGCAAATTTTCATTTTTAAACCAAGATCTATAATTACACATTCATTGTATGTAGAAATTAGAGAAAAAAAAGAATTAACAATAAAGTGAATGTTTTGTTTGAGAGTTTATAATGAGATGAATCGAAAGAAAATAATGCTTAGAATTTCTGGGAAAACCAATGGAACAGAAAGGAAAGGAATTTACTTAAAAACTCTTCATAATAGCTAAATTGCCTTTCTTCAAATAAAGAATGAAAAATTTATTCCTTACCAATAAAATTTATACCAATTAGCTTTGATATATCATCAAAATTATCTTGATCGGGCACGAATCTCGAGGCAAAATCAAGTTGGAAACTTCCAAAATTTAATATGGGATCATATGAGCTTCGATTTTAGCAAACTTATTGTCGAACTGAACGCCTCAAAAAGAAGAACTCAACGACACCACTTTCGACTCAATCTGAGCCCAAATGGGTCCAAATTGAAGACCTGAAGCGCCTTTGAAAAGTTTAATCCATAAATTAGATGACCAAATGATTTCCAAATATAACATGCTTATAGTTGAATCAAGCGGAATGTTAAGAAGAATCCAAGGAGCCTTAGATCGTTGAATTCTGATATCGTTAAGACATTCAAATGCCTAGTAAACAGTCCACGATCAAGAGGTTCAATATCGACCGTCCATTCAAAAGATTCCCAACATGCCCTTGATCTTCTCTTTATTTACTGGTTATGCCACTCCCAAAAAATTATAAATAAACCCTTCATTCTTTATTAATGAGGGAGTAAGCTAGGGAGCAAGGAAGAGAGAAAAGAGAGGAGAGGAATACAAATATGAGATCTTTCTTTTCACCAAGCTCCTCCACAACTAACGCCTGGCCATTGGCTATCTCTAAACCTCTACCTCACCATCAAAAGTCATCGGACTAACACCCGACCACCAACCGATGCTAGATTTACGCTCAACCACTAATTGTCTCAAGACTTTCACCAAGTCTTGCAAGATTTACGCCCGACCATCGATTGTCGTCAGGTTTTCTCCTGACCACCATTGCCGGCTATAGTCCTTCTGACCTCCGTTGCCTGCCTACTATAGTCCTTCTGATCTCCGTTGCCCAATTATGGTCTTTTTGACCACTTTTGCTTGACTAAGATCTTTCCCACCATTGTCGCCTGATTACGGTCTTTCTGACCAACCTCGTCGAATGACTACGATCGTTCCTACCTCCGTCGCCTGCCGACTACAGTCCTTCCAATCTTCATCATCAGACTACGGTCCTTCTATCCTTAATCGCCTGCTAACTACGGTCGTCCCAACCTCCGTTGCCAGACTATGATTTTTTTGAACACATTTGCCCGACTATGATCTTTTTGACCATTGTCGCCCATCGACTACGGTCCTTCTAACCTTCATCGCCAACAACGGTATTTATGACCACAGTCACCAGCCGACTACGGTCCTTCTGATCTCCGTTGCCAGATAACGGTCCTTCTGACCTCTGTCGCCTGTCGATTACAATCCTTCCGACCTCCGTTGTCAGACTAAAACTTTTTCTACCTTACCGACTACGGTCCTTCTGCTCTACGTTGCCAGATAACATTCCTTTCGACCTTCGTCGCTAGACTATAGTCCTTCCGACGTCCTTCGCCAGACTACGGCCTTTCCAACCTCCATCGCCCACCGAGTATGGTCTTTTCATACCTCCGTCGCCAGATAACACACCTTCTGACTTCTATCGCTTGCCTACTATGGTCCTTTCGACATCTGTCGCCAGACTACGGTCTTTCTAACCTCCGTCACCTGCCGACTACGGTCCTTATGATTTTTATCGCCAGGCTACAGTCCTTTCGACCTTTATCGCCAGACTATAATCTTTCTAACCTATGTCGCCCATCGACGGTCATCTATCACCTGACAATGGTCTTTTCGATCTTCGTCGCCCACTGACTACGTTCCTTCCAACCAACATTACCTGACTACGATCTTTCCGACCTCCATCACCCGCCGGCCATGATCTTACCAACCAAATAAACATGTAAATAATTATTCTTCAATTTCCCCCCATGTAATGCACTCTATATGATGTATATTTGCTACATCAAGTCAAAGCTTTCCCCCCTAGTAAGGGCCTTATTTACAATCGATTGCAAACACTAGTGGATTCATTCAAAATGGGCTAGGCCTTGTGATTTTTCCTCCTTTTCAGAGATTTCTATGTGAAAATTTTGGTATCTCTTATGAACGCTACATCCATCTTTTTAATCTGATTGGGTGTTCGATCTTCATACAAAGCTAAGACGTTAAACTTTGTATTTCTCTATAGCCTCGAATATTCCAGAACATAGTAGTTTAGTGCCGTCTATGGAAACACCGTTCATGACTTGATGCAACTATTGCTCAAATCTCGATAGATCATTCAGGTTAACGTCCTGACATCATCTATCGCTGCATCAATTTCATAGAAATTAGATGTGGACTGAGGGGCAACCTTGATTACAGCTATGGTTAATAAAATTCTTCAAACACTTCCAGCATCCAAGACGATATCTTATGAATGTATTTTTTATAAAACTTCTACCAAATGTAAGGATGTTTTCAATAAATTACAAGTTTTATACAGTTCAAAGATAAACTTCTACTCCTTGGGCAAGGTCTTAATATCGACCTAAATAAGGAAATAACGGTCTAAAGATAGACCATTCATCACCTTTGATTTGGGATACACGCGACATTCGCCCCTTCTCAATAAAGGCATAATTGATCCCAAGGGGAGTCGATCCGACCTCTTTCACATAGGTTAATGTCATCAAGTAATGCTTTGACTAGGAATCTCGGATAGGTCAAACATCATAGGAGGATGTCAATCAAATCTTAAAATCTTTGATTCAAGAAATTCACAATTTTTATTGTTTCTCAATTACTGAATGATCAATTTCAGAGGGATTCGATCCGACCACTTCCATTAGGTTAACATTATCAAGTAATGCTATGATAAATAATCTCGAATAGGTCATACATTCTTGATTGATTTTCTTAACCTCTTTCACACATGTTAATGTCATCGATCAATGCTCTGACAAACAATCTCGAATAGATCTTACATTTTTGATGCATTCTATCCATTTATTCCTCACAGGTTAACGTTATTGAGCAACGTTCTAACAAGCAACCTCAAATAGGTCATACATCATTAGTAGATTCTCTCGACATCTTTTACATAGGTTCACGTAATTGAGCAATACTTTAACAAACAACCTCGGATAGATCATACATTCTTGGTGGATTCTCTCGACATCATCCGTACAAATTAATTTCATGAAGCAACAAACAACTTCAAAAAGGTTAAATATCATTAGAGCAGTCTATTGTAATCTTCCCTCCTGCACATTGAAGCATCTCCCACAACTTATTCTTCAAAGAAAGATTATATCCTGATCACCATCAGACATCAACTATGGTCCTTTTGAATCTCCATTGCCAAATAATAGTCTTTCTAACTTCCATCGCCTACCTATTACAGTTCTTTCGACCTTTGTCGCCTGACTACTTTTTTCCTGACCTCAGTCGACCTTTTTCTGCATTCTACAGTCTTTTTGACATCCATTGCCTGCTGACTACGGTTCTTAATTCCGACCACCGTCACCCCATTACGATCTTTCCAACCTCTGTAGCCTGCCAACAATTGTCCTGCCAACCAAATAAACATCTCAATATTGATTCTTCAAATTGCCACTATGTAATGCACTCTATATGATGTATATTTGCTACATCAAGCCAGGCCTTCCCCCCAAGGAAGTGCCTTATTTGTAATCAATTGCAAACACTAGTGGATTCATTCAAACTCGGCTAGGCCCCGTGATTTTTTCCCCTTTTCAGGGGATGCCATGTAAAAAAATCCAGTGTCTCTTATGAACGCTACACCCTTCTTTTTTTCTCTGATTGTGTGTTGGATATTCGTATAAAACTAAGACGTTAAACATTAATTTTCTCTATCGCCGCGAATATTCGATGACGCAACAAGCTTATGTTAGTATCTCTGTTTAAAATTGCGTAACAAGAGGCGCGCCTCTGCCCAATTTGCCCCAAATACGCCTCAAGGCTTATGCAATTTTCCTCTTGGCAGAGGCGTACGCCTCACCGGTCTAAGGCGCAATTGCACAATTATAAGTGAGGCGTACGCCTCATCAACCCGGTCCCACGGTGGGTTAAAATTCACCGCACCAATCAGTATAAGCTGTTCGACCACTATTTAAACTTCCAGTACCGCTCGGTACCGAGCGGTACATGCTCGGTACCGAGCCAGTACCGCTCAGTACCGAGCGGTACATGCTTGGTATTTTTTAAATGAGAGCTCATTGAGGGTTAAACAAGCCAGGCTTGATAAGCCAGATACTCGACTCGACTCTGACTCGTTTACACCCCTGACTCCCACCTACTTAAAGTTAAGCATTTTTTCCCTTCATCCCGTTCGGTTCCAGGTATTCCCGAAAAAATCTCTTCCTGCAGCCTCTGATAGACTATAATTTTGTGGTTCTGTGCTTTAGAATATGCTTTTATAGCATTTTTTCCCTTAATTTCTACTAATTTCACTTATCATTTAGATGTTTTTATTGTATGATTGAATCTTGCTATTATCTACCTGCTAAAACCCTTAAATTCTCATTTACACAATTCTGCGTCCGTGAGGCTTACGCCTCAGACCGCCTCGAGGCTTACGTCTCGCCTCACGGACGAAAACCGTCTCGAGGCTTATTTACGCAATTTTAAACCTTGGTTAGTGTAATTTTATATATGGCAAATTATTTATAATTATTTTCCCTTCTTTTCTTTCAATTCAAAATTAAAATGGCATAGATAATATTATTTTCTTTTATTGAATTTTTAATAGAAAAATGGATAACTTATA